GCCCTTGGCGAAAATGCTCCGGCTGGAAACTCCAGGCCCCGAGAGAAAGAATCCGCTTTGCGCTTGGGCCTCCCTCTAATCAGTGGGATCCCAAGAAGATCACTATCTACAGAGGAATTTCCTGTCCCTTGTTTCATTTTTGTTCTGGCAGCTAGACAAAGAATTAAAATTAAGTATAGCTGCAGAGGTGGATATACCGTGAGGTTAATAAAGCTTAAGCATCCGAGGCTCCTCGCTTGCACAGGCTATTCCCTGGGAAATAGTGTCAATAATTCCGAGCAGTTAAGATTAGTCACTGCTCAGAAAAACTTGCAATGCCCAGTAGCCTTAAATTCATGGATGAAAGAATCTGGAATAGGATTCTCCTAAACTTGACAACAATACTAATATTGGAACAAGTGTGGATCTGAGATTAAAGTTTCTTAAGCTATAAATAAAGTGTTTTGATCAAACATGTTAAAGGAAACGTCAGATTATCTTTCTATTCCCTCTATAGAAAGTGATATCATAAAATTGTTGTCATATAAAGATCCAATCAAAGAATATGGGAGAAAGTATTAGAGAGCTGGGGCAGTAAATTAATAAAAATACTGTGTGTAATTTTAAATTTGAGGATTGTATATGGGAATCGCCACCTTTTAAATTTTGTTATTGGTTGGAATTTATTTCATATTAAATGTCTACTTGTATATCTTATTTTGTGTTTTAAATTTTGTGTTCTTTTCCTTAGTTGTGTACGATTCACACCCCCACAAAACCTGGATCTGTTCCTACCTCACTCATTGAGCTGTGGATAAACATTCGTTACTACTGTTAATATTATTGTCATTTACAGAATGACAGGAAGGTTTGAGGATGATCTCTGTGAGGATCCACATTGCACTTCAGACGCCATAGTTACCGGCTGCTTGTTCATTCACACGCTTATATAGTGATTCATTAATTTGATGAATGTTTGTTGAGTGCCAGTAACATCCCAGACACTAGTGGGGGTGCTGGAGATGCAGCAGGAAATGATCTAGACAGGGTCTCTACCTTCAGGGAACTTACAGTGTGATAAGAGTTATCCATGGAACTGATTTTAGGTTTTCAAAAATCAGACTTTTAAAACTATCTAAGGCACCCCCAAACACACACCTTTTATTATGAAAATGTTCAACCACGGAGAAAAGTTGAAAGAATTGTAAAGCGAACGTCCATATACCTACCATACAGATTTATAAATTTTAAATATCATTTACAGTTTGATCCTAAAAGAACATCATATTCAGCCAATTCTTCTTCTTTTTTTCTTTTGTTTGAGGAAGATTAGCCCTGAGCTAACATCTGCTGCCAATTCTCTACTTTTTGCTGAGGAAGACTGGCCCTGAGCTAACGTCCGTGCCCATCTTCCTCTATTTTATATGTGGGACGGCCACCACAGCATAGCTTTTGCCAAGCGGTCCCATGTTGGCACCTGGGATCCGAACCAGGAAACCCCAGGCCGTCGAGAGGCAGAACGTGCGAACTTGACTGCTGTGCCACTGGGCTAGCCCCCAGCCAATTCTTTTAAAAGGCAGGGGATCCAGGCCCAGCAAGGAGAAGTGATGTGCTCAAGGTAGGGACAGAAAGAAGCAGGCTTAGACCTCACCTCTTCTGATTCCAAGTCCAGGACTTTTTCTGCCATTTTCCACTGGATCCATGTAGCCAAACTTCTAGTTTCAGCTCATGAAACACACTGTTAGTGTAGTGCCAGATCCTAAGGGACTCAGAGGCAAACAGACAATAGGGGGAAAGGCAAGGAACCCACATTTATTGAGCACCAGCTGGTTTTAAGAATTATGCTCGACCCATAGCATTCTCAAAGTGTGGTATTCTCACTGCAACCCTGCCAAGTGGCATTATAGTACCCACTTTATAGATGACAACTGGACACTGAGAGGGGCCATCCCTTGCCCAAAGTTACATAGCAAGTGAGTAGATGGATCTGGACCCAGGTTTGTCTGACTTGAAAGCTTATGATCTTTCCACTGAACTATGCTCTCCTCTTCAAACTCTGGTGCCCAACTCTTCTATCTCCATCAATTCAGTTATGCATTCATTCACCAAACATTCACTGAGGCATCAATATGCAGAGATGAAGTGGACCCAGCCCTCAAAAAATGGAGAACAGGGGCCGGCCAGGTGGCACAGCGGTTACGTGCACACATTCCACTTTGGCGGCCCGGGGTTTGCCCGTTGGGATCCCAGGTGCGGACATGGCACCACTTGGCAAGCCATGTTGTGGTAGACATCCCACATATAAAGTAGAGGAAGATGGGCACGGATGTTAGCTCAGGGCCAGTCTTCCTCAGCAAACAGTGGAGGATTGGCAGAAGATGTTAGCTCAGGGCTAATCTTCCTCAAAAACAAAAAAATGGAGAACAGAGGATGAGTTCTGTGTGATAGGCCCTGTACCGTGAATTATCTCATTTAATAAAGAGAATCTCAATGAGAAACCATTTTGCACCCATCAGATTGGCAAAAACTTAAGTTTGACTGCCAAATATTGATAAGGATGTCGAGCAACAGGAGCTCCCATTCATTGCTGGTGGAAGCATAAATTGGTAACAATTATAGCTAATGCATCGTGCCTAATTCGTGTCATAAAACACTTTATATATAATGACTCATTTAACCATCATAGCACATAACACTTAACTGTGTTAAGTACGATTATAATTTTCATTTTGCAAATGAGGAAACAGACAGAAAAGGCTGGCTTTCCACTAGACACAGCAGGTACATACAGTGCCTAGGGCCCATGACACTTTTAGGGGCCCACGAAAAAAATTTTTCTTTTAAATCAGAAGACAAAGAATATAATCCAGCCTAGCTTATGTTCATCTTTAGACCAACACTGTCATAAAATATCAGTTTTTATATGTTTTGGGGCATGAACGGGCCCACAAAAGCACAAATGCCAGGGTCCATGGGGCGCTGCAGACGGTGGGTGGTTAAATCACTTCCTCAAGATGTCCCAGCTAGGAAGTGGTGGAGTTGTTAGGAAGAGCAGTGTGGCAATAGCTACCAAATTGAAGCCAGAAGTGGAAGGTGCTCATGTTCTTTGATCCAGCAACTCAACTCCCAGGTACATAATTTAGGGAAAATCTCTTTTGGGTTCAAGGTACTTGAAAATGTCCATGGCAGTATTATTTGTAATAATAAAGTATTGGAACCAACCCAGTATCCATCAACAGGAGAATGAATTACCATAACGTGGCATCATCATCTGAGACATTGACAACGGGTGACTAGACTACATGTATTGATGTACACAAATGTGAAAAATATATTAAAAATGTCAAGGGGAAAAAAATTAGAAAAGCTTACACCAAAATGGTATGATTTATCATAAAGGCATGAAAATATGCGGAATGTCACATCATTTCATAATTGTAGCAAAATAAGAAAGACATGCATGGGGGTGATAAACAGAAAATGCAAAATCTAATAACATCAGGGGAGGGAGAGAGGACAATGGATGGGGTACACAAAGGACTTGGATTGCATCTGTAATGTTTATTTTAAGTTTATTATCGTGTATGGTGAGCTATTTACAAGTATTCTGAATACTTTCTGTATACAGATATGGTTCATAATAAGATTAATATTAATAAAATGCTCCCTGTGTTTATCAGTTAAGATGGAATAGGTTATGCTGCAGTAACAAACAACCCAAAGTTCAGTGGCTTAACACAGCAAACGTTTATTTTAAACGCCACATCTCCAGGGAAGAGCAGCACCAGGCTCCGCTCACTGCAGATACTCCGGAACTCAGGCTGATGGAAACTTCACTTCGTCCGACAGATCCCCAAGCACAGAAGGGCAGGAACGGAACACGGTGAACGGCTCCCTGGCTCTGACTGTGTGCTGAAGTCGACACACATCACTGTCACTATAGTTCATTGGCCAAATAAAAGCACATGCCCACGTCTAACTTCAAAGGAAAGCACAATCTTATGTTCCCAGAGGAGGAGAAACAGTGAATTTAGGAACGATCACAATGTTTAGGCATCTCTTATCCTGCTCTTCCATAGAATACATTTAGAGGTGTTCCAAAGGTGTTCCATACCTTTTTCTCATTGGGTTTTACAACCCCCTACAGTTTCTACATGAGAAAATATATACATGGTCCAGAGAAGTGTAGTGACTTCTCCAAGGTCACACAGCCAGGCCATGGAATGAATGGGTAGATAACTAAGACGAGCCCAGCCCTGTCCTTGGTGCTGCCGAAAACCCCATCTTGGGCTCTTTTCTTCAGAGTTTCGTTTCCCAAACGTCACACCAATGTGTGGATTTTCGCTAAATCCCAGAACCACCATGTTGCTGTCGGCTTAATATCTTTCTATAAACTGACTTAAAAATCCTAACGCTCGTAAAGTTTGCCTCACTACGTTATCACGAGCCATGCAGAGGAGGTCACGACAAAAATGTGTAAAGTGAAAACAGAACAAAAGTTATTAAATGCTGGTGAGGGTCAATTGACTTTCAGAGCCTACTACTGTAGTTGGTTAAAAAGAGAGATTCGAATGCCTTCCCAGCCGCCCCGGCGCCACACGCAGGCTCTCTCTTTTGGCAGGTTGACAGGTAATTTGGAAGAAAATGCATCACTTTCCTCCCCGGGTGGGGGGAGGGGCTCAGCCTCCCTGGAAGCCCCGCCCCGCCCTCCAGTGCGCCTGCGCGGTGGCTCTGACGCCAGCCCGAGTCCCGCCCCTTCCCCGTGCGACCACTGGCCTCGGGGGCGGGGCCTGGGCACAAGATGGCTGCCGCGCGCCCGGAGCCCCCGAGTCCGAGCTCAGCGGCCCCGGAGCCGCGATCCCCGGAGCCGCCGGACGTGGTGCGGGCGAGGAACGGGCCTGGGCGGGGAGCTCGAGGCGGGAGGAGGTCTCAGGGCAGGGGGCGGGGCCGAGGCGGGGCTTAGGGCTGGGCAGGGGAGGTATTTAGGACTCCAGCCCTGGGGGCGGGGCTTCTCGGGGAGGGCGAGGGGGCGGGGATTGGGAGGAGCCAATGGGGTGGAGGGGCGTGGCCTATTGGGCGTGGCCTGAGGAGGGGGTTGGGTGGAACATGTGGGCCTGGGAAGGGTCCAGGGAGAGGCATCTCAGAGATTGAGTTTGTGTAACTAGGGTGCGGAGCCTTCAGAGGGGCGGGGCCTCCGAGAGAAATGCTGGGGCTGTGAACTTGGGTAGAAGGTTGGAAAGGAGACTCCGACAGACGAAAGTGGGGGTTATGATGGGACACCCACGTTGGGATGGGGGAAGATGATTCTGCAAGGGTCTGAATGATGCATCTCGAATGGCCAAGGGAGGATTTTGGGGGAGAAATAACAGCTCCAGGTGATTTTGGAACCTCCCCCAGGTTCCCCTACTGAAGACTGGAGAGTAACTGAGGACATTCATTCACTCAACAAACATTTACTGAGCTTCTCCTTGCGCTCGGTAGATAAAGAGGTGAACCAGACAGATAAGGACTTTATTTTCTTGGACTTGCAGTCTAGGAGGGGAGATAGACAATAAAGGAGATTTATCGTGTTATGTTCTATGAGAGAATTAAAGAGTGAGCTGATAGAGGCGGGTAGAGGGAACTAAATTTAGACGACAGCAGTCAGCTGTGTGCCGGCTTACAGTTACACAGGGGTCAGTGAGATAAACAGGAGCCAGGTCATGATGGATATTATGATGCCGGTTTTGGATTTTAAGCGCCATTGGAGCTTTGAGAGGGTTTTGAGTGGGAAAGTGGCCTGATCTGACTTCCATTTTCTAAAGGTCATTCAGGCTGCCTCGGGGAGGTGGGATATACGGGAGCAGGCTAGGAACAGAGGTTCTGTTCAGGAGGCTTTTTCAGTTGTCGAGGTGAGAGTGATTGGCTTTTAACGGGGTAGAGGAGAGAAATGGCTGGGCCCATGATGTATTTTGGACTGGAGGGGAAGTTGATGGGCGTAGGCAGAAGCCTGGAGGATGGAGAACGGGATTTAGAACTTGAGGGGCCCAGTAGGCTACAAAGGAGTGGATGTTTCTGTAAGTGTGGGCATGCTGGGGAGGCCTTGAGACAGGGTCCACAGGCTCCTCTTTCTTCTCCCCTCACCCAGGTCCTGGTGCCTGATGATGGCCACCCCACCACACCCCCGAGTGACCTCATCGAGATCCAGGTGGTGAAGGTGACAGACACCACGCTGGTGCCTGAGCCCCCAGAGCCAGGTTCTCTTCACTGTGCCTTGTGCCCAGCTGCCTTCCGGCTGGTCTCTGAGCTGCTGTTCCATGAACATGGCCACCTGGCCCAGGCGGAGGGTGGCAGGCAGGGTGGGGACCCCAGTCGGTGTCATGTGTGTGGCCACAGCTGTCCGGGCCCCGCCAGCCTCCGTGCCCACTACAGCCTGCACACCGGAGAGCGGCCCTACCGCTGCGCTCTCTGCCCCCGGGCCTTCAAGGCCCTGGCGCCTCTGCTGCGGCACCAGCACCGACACGGGGTGGAGCCGGGGACCTCACAGAGGCCCCCAGAGGCGGCCGCGGCGCGGGACCCGAGGCCCGGGGTGCCCCAGGAGAGGTCGGAGGTGGTGATGGCGGCGGCGGCGGCGGGCGCGGCCGTGGGGAAGCCGTTCGCCTGCAGGTTCTGCGCCAAGCCGTTCCGCCGATCGTCGGACATGCGAGACCACGAGCGGGTGCACACGGGCGAGCGGCCCTACCACTGCGGCGTCTGCGGCAAGGGCTTCACGCAGTCCTCGGTGCTGAGCGGCCACGCCCGCATCCACACCGGGGAGCGCCCCTTCCGCTGTGCCCTCTGCGACCGCACTTTCAACAACTCGTCCAACTTCCGCAAGCACCAGCGCACCCACTTCCACGGGCCGGGGCCGGGACCGGGGCTGGGAGACTCTGGAAGCCAGCTGGCCTCGGGGGCCGAGGGGTCAGGGAGCGGGTGTGGCGCAGGAAACACTCTGGAAGAGGGACGTGGGGAGACAGCCAAGGTGAAGGTGGAGGTCGACCAGTAGGCTGAGGGAGCAGGGCCACCCGGGCGTTAACATGGGAAGGAGGAGGCAGATTCTACGGGAAGAGGGGTGGGAAGAGGAGACAGGGGACAGAAAAGGGGAGACTGGGGGAGAGATGACCCAAGAGCTAACCGAGATAGTCATGCGCATCCTGAGAGCAGAGGAAGAACGCGGTTCAGGATGCCCACAGACCCGCACAGCACCTCTGTCAGACTCAGAGAAAGGCACAGATGCAGCCCTGTGGATGCCCTGCTAAATGCAAGGAACACAGGCTGGATTTCATTGCCCCCATTTGCCTGCTCATTGGGCTGTCCTTATGCAGGACACAGCAGCTTCTTGTCTCAGCAGAGCCTGGGCACTCCAGAGGGCAAGCCAGGGTTGAGTGGAAGGGGTGGAATCGGGGTGTGCCATAGTGTTTCTGGGCCAGCCCTTCGTCTGCAGAACCGTGGACTTATGATGGGGGCTCCCTAGGGTGGACCAGGATGGAACCTCTTGCCTACCTCACTGGATTGCACTGAACATGGGATGCCTACCCACCCACAGGCAGAAGACGTCCACCAGGTTCTCCGTGAAGAGACTCTGGGATCCTAGCACCTCGAAGCCAGAGGGTCTCCAACTCATAGCCGAGAGCACTCGAGCCTCAAGGATGTGTAAGCCTGACCGTAGGGATCTTGACTCCAAGAGCTGCTATGCCCACTCCCATGGTGGGCCCTCCTTCACCCACCCTGACTCCTCTTCAGAGGCAACTGAAAACCTGGACAGCAAACAGCCGCCTCATAGCCGCCTCCTAAAGCGTTAGGCTCGGAGCCCAGGTCTACAAAATAGCCTCAGGTTTCTCCAACTTCCTCCACTCCCAATTTGAAGCAAACGGTTCACTGCCTGGTCCCAGGCCATCCCAAGGACGGGCTGGCGGATGGCGGCATGGTGGTGGGTGTGGAATGAGAGTCGAGTCACTGCGGTGGGGTTAAGAGGAGGACTTGGGAGCTGGAGGTGGGAAGCCTCCAGATTTCTTTCTATTAAAGGACTTTGACAAGCGTTTCTCTATGTCGGCCTTGTGTTTGGGTTGTGTGCATTTCGGGGGTGGGGGCAGAAGGGCCACAGTGCGGTCTTGCCACCAACAGTGGATGGAAGCATACCTCTCTCCAAACCTCTGTGTCCTCGTCTTTAGAATGGGGACAGTGTCTGGCTATACAGAGATGTTATGCGGTTCAGCTATGGGAGTTGGGGCAGGGAAGTTTGGCAAAAGGAAGGGACTCCTGAGATCAGCGTGCTTATTAAAGAGGGAGAGCCCCGGGTTTGCACACTTTCCTGTTCACCCAACACCCCCCACAAGATATCCCACAGACAAGTCAGAATGTGAACAGAATTCATAACTGTTTCCCTCAAAGAAATGTCCATGTTTCCTATCTCTTTGGCATCACCACCCAAGCTAGAACCTGGCAATTCTTCAAGCCTTCTTCATCCCTCACCCACATATCTAATTCCATATCGAATTCCCGCTATTGAGCCAGTTAAATATCTTTGGAATCTGAATGCTTCTCATCATCACTACTCTTGTAGACCACGCCAACAGTGGTCTGACATTGGGATAACTGTCCAGCAGCTCAGCCTCCAGGCCCTGCCCTCTTCATTCTCCACACTGCAGCCACATGGGTCCTTCAAAAACACAGATCCCAGACTTGTCACCAACCCACAGCTCCTTGTGGCTTTGAGAAGAAACATGAATGTGTATTGGAGCTGGGTGGCAATGTAAATAAATAAGAAAGGTGGCCGGGTTCAAGGAGAAAATACCAACACTCGCGAGGTGAAATACGGCGACTGACGCTTGGGCTCAGTATTGGGATTCGAACAGTGGTGGGAATTGGTAGATTGGAAAGTGTACACCCAGTCTGAAGAGGGTAATGGCTACTCAGCTCCCGGCAGAAACAAACCATATTGCTAGATCTTCCCAATTTTTCAGAAGTTGCATTAGTTCACATTATGTAAAATCTTTTGATTTTCAAATGTTGGCAACTAAGTCAAACTTTATTATTATTATTTTTTAATGCACAGGCTAAACAAAATGTGTTAGCGGCTTGGACCCAGCCTGGTAGCTGCCAGCTTCCCACCTCTGGCCTATGAGATCATCCAAGTTCTGCCATTTGGAACTCAAGGCCCTTCAGAATCCAGCCTCCCACACCCCCACCTCTCCAGCCATACCAATCTGTTTGAAACTCTCTGGAATAGCTGGGTTTAGTCAGACTCACCAAACCCTCCACCTGGAGTTCTCTGCCTGCTTTACCTGGTAAGCGCCTGTGGCTTTACGTCATCGTTCAGGCGTGACTCCTCCTGCGGGAGGCTCTTCACCCTCTAGTCTGATGAGGTGCCTCCCCTGTGCTCTCACGTCCTTTGGAGTGTGGTGCTCCACATCCATGTGACTTTTGAGCCCTGGGGCACTGGCACGAGGTCTGTCTCATGCTGTCTTCAGCATCAGAGCATGGTGGCCACACTGGGTTGCCGCCCTCGTGGGTCAAACTGGACTCTCCCAGGCAGCGCCCCCTGAACCGGCTCTGTCTTCAGGTTTCAGCGTAAGACAGCCGGGGACTGCAGTCTTGGTCCCACCGGGGATTTGCTAGGTGTCCTCGGAGCCTCTTTCTTCTCCAGAAGCTCAGCCTCATCCTCTGACAAATGAGATAACTAAACACACATCGCAGGGTGTAGATGTCACTGTTGCCAGAACCAAAATGAGGGCTTTTGAAGCAACCCCAAATCATCCTGGAGGCACAAGCGAGTGAGCTTTATCACAAACGGGAGTCCACCCAAGGCTTCCACATAGCAATAGCTCACCAGTTCTCTTCCATCCTCCTGAGGGCCGGAGGGTGTACAAGTCACATTTCCCCAGCATCCAGCAAAGGCCCCCGCAGACAGGGGACTTTGTGGGGAAAAGGGGCCGAGTAAACGAATGCTGAAAGCAACTTGAAGGGTAAGGAATCCAGGCACGTTGCCAGTTCCTGAGAGCAGAAACTTACCTGTCTTGTTCATCCCCCATTTGCCCAACTCACAGACTACAGCTTGGATGTGGCAAATCCTCAGTAAATACCACGTGAATGAGGAAAAGTAGAGAGCCTGAGGGTGAGGCGCGCGGCGCCAGGGAATCAAAATCCTAGAGAAACAAAGGTTCTCAACCTTCCATTTGCCAGCACTTAATCCCCTCTCCCTGGGATGCAAGAAAGAACTCCAGCGGCCCTGTTGATAAGATTTATTATTCTCCGCTCTGTACAAGCCGCGTCTGCCGCCCCGCCCCCCCCCCCACCCCGACAATCCAAAAGAGCACCCTGTCACCCCTCGTGCTCTCTCCACTCCGCTCATATTCCACTGTCTGGCCAGAGCCCAAAAGAAGGGGGAGGGGCAGTTCAGACCCATCTCCACCGAGGCTTATTGGGGACAGAATGCTGTGGGGGCGGGGGGCCGATGAGGGTGACAAAACGGGGGTGGACGGAGGATCAACTTCAGTGTCTGGTGGGATGAGAAGAGGGCCAGAGAGGTCCAGGAAAGGAGTGATTCAGTCTTGAGTTTGTACGGCGTGCGCCTTGAAGGAGGCTAGTCTGTCCGAAGGTCTGAAGGACGGACGGGGCAACAACGAGGAGGGGGAGGAATCTGACCAGCCGCCCGGGGAGAGGCCAGTCCCGAAGGGGACATCTGACTGGAGTGGCGGATGGGAGACCCCCGGGTCAGGCATCCTTCCCGGCCAAGGTGCCCGCCCCCGCTCCAGGCCCCCCGAGGCCTTCGGCCTTGTGCGCCAGGCGGTGTTTCTTGAGACCATAGGTGTTGGCGAAGCCCTCGCCACACGAGGAGCAGCGGAAGGGCCGGCCGCCCTGGTGGGCCGCCAGGTGCTTGCGGAAGTAGCCGGGATCCTTGAAGGCCTTGAGGCAGGCGGGGCAGCGGAGCTCGGGCCGCGGCGGCTCGTGCGCGCGCTGGTGGCGCAGCACGGAGCTCAAGTAGAAGAAGCCTTTGCCGCAGTGCTCGCAGCGGTAGGCGCGCTCGCCCAGGTGCAGCCGCTGGTGCTCCAGCAGGTTGGAGCGGTAGCGGAAGGTCTTGCCGCAGGCGCCGCAGCGCTGGGGCCGGGCCACGGCGTGCAGCCGGCGGTGCTCCGCCAGGCTGGATGACTGCGCGAAGCGCTTGGCGCACACGCCGCACTTGAAGGCCCGCTCGCCCGTGTGCACCACGCGGTGCTGCCGCAGGTACCAGGAGCGCAGGAAGCCTCGGCCACACACGCCACACCGGTAGGGCCGCTGCTCCGTGTGGCAGCGCTGGTGGCGCATCAGCAGCGCCGCCTCCCAGAAGCGCTTGCCACACACCGGGCAGCGGAAGCCCCGCTTCTGCCGGTGGCTGCGGCGGTGCAGGAGCAGGTCGTAGGCACCCGCGAAGCTCTGGCCGCAGAGGCCGCAGCCCAGGGTCCGCCGCACCAGGTGCACGTACTTGTGAGTCACCAGGCCCAAGAAATGCTTGAAGCTCTGGCCGCAGGTGGCACAGCTGAAGCGCTCTGGGCCCGAGCTGGCACCCCCGCCGCCCCCAGCCACCGCTGCCCCGCTTGCATCATCGCCCCCAGACACCCCTGCCAGAGCCGCCACGGCTGCCCCCACCTCTCCCGCCAGCCCGTTGTCCAGCACGCTGGCCGCATCAGTGCTGCTGGAGCCATCCGGGGGCTGCGGACCGCCGGGCGTGGGCGGGAGCAGGCGCTCCGGGGCCGCCTGGTGGACCAGCTTGTGCCACATGAGGTTCTCAATGAAGCCAAAGGTCTTGCCGCAGGCGTCGCAGCCGTAGGGCTTCTCCGCCATGTGGGCCTCCTTGTGGCTCATGACGTGGAAGAGATCCGGGAAGTGCTCGCCACAATCCGAGCACGCGTAGCTCAGTCCATCGGCAGCGCCCGCGGACGTGGCCGAGCCGCCTGGGCCACAGGTTCCCGGTGCCCCCTGGGTGGCCGGGAGGCCGGCGGCCCCGGCCAGGGCGCAGGGCAGCTGGAGCCGGTGCACCTGGCGGTGGCGGGTGAGGCTCTGCGGGTAGCCGAAGACCTTGCCACACAACTCGCACTTGTAGGGCCGCTCGCGAGTGTGCACCACGTGGTGCTTGCTCAGGTGGAAGGACTCGCGGAAGCGCTTCCCGCACACGGGGCACTGGTGCGGCTTCTCGCCGGTGTGGATGCGCTCGTGGCGCTTCAAGGTCTCCCGGCGCCCGAAGCCGCGCCCGCAGATGCCGCAGCAGAACGTCTTTCCCGGGACGCTGGCGCCGGAGCCTCCGGCCCCGCTGGTCCCCGCTCCGCCGAGCAGCAGCGGGTGGGCCCCCAGGAGCGGGACGGGCACGGCACCGTACACGACGGCCGCTGCGGCCGCCGCCGCCTTCTCGCTGTCCGTGGCGGGAGGGTCGGGGGGCAGGAGATAGGGGCCCGGGGGGAAGGTGGGCGGGGGCTGCGGGACCGAGGCCGCCCCGTCCTTGGGCGCGTCGGGGGCGGCGGGCGGGGCGTGGGCGGCCTTGTGCCGGAGCAGGCTCTGGGGCGCCGAGTAGGACTTGCCGCACAGGTCGCAGGGGTACACGGGCCGAGGCCCCGCGGCCCCCGCCGCCGCGTGGGCCGCCTGGTGCTTGAGGAGGTAGGCGGCGTCGCGGAAGGCCTTACCGCAGATGCCGCAGGGCAGGCGCAGAAGGTCGGCCGAGTGCGTCTTCACGTGCCGCTTGAGGCTCTCCCTGCGGTTGAAGCTCTTGCTGCACACGGAGCAGGAGAAGGGCTTCTCGCCCGTGTGGATGATCTGGTGCTGGTGGAGGTGGCTGGGCTTCTTGAAGACCTTCCAGCAGAGCGGGCAGGCAAAGGGGCCCTCGCCGCCCCCCGCCACCGGAGGGGGCGCCCCCACACCCGCTGGGGCGGCGGGGGCCGCATTCGCATCGGCCGAGGCGGCGGGCGCCGCGGGCGTGGCGGGCGGTCCCGAGGGCGCGGAGGTGGGGGCGGCGGCGGGGGCGCTGGCGGCGGGCGCCGGGAGCCCCAGCGGCGGGAGGGGCGCGCCCGGCTGCGGCGGGCCCCCGGCAGCAGGCGGCACGTCCTTGTGGCAGCGGCGGTGGCGGATGAGGCTGGAGACGTGGTTGTAGGTGCGGCCGCAGACGCCGCACTCGTAGGGCCTCTCGCCCGAGTGCACCAGCATGTGCTGCACCAGGTGCGAGGACTGCTTGAAGGACTTCTGGCACACGCCGCAGGGGAAGCGCCGCTCCATCAGGTACTTCAGCCTTCGGAAGTAGCCCTTGTCGTCCTTGGTGGGGTCGCAGGCCGCCCCTGCGGCAGGTCCCGGGGGGGTCTGCGAGGGGGCAGGAAGCGGTGCGGGGGTCCCGGCGGGAGTGGCCAGCCCCTGTGTCACCGCCGGCCCGGACACCGGCCCTCCGCGCTTCAGGTTCCCAAACAGGTGCTGGTGTCCCGAGAGGTCGACGATGCCCCACTGCGGGGCGGGGAAGGCAGCGTCAAAGAGGGGCGGCGGGGGGGCACCGAAGGCGGGTGGCAGGGGCGGGTCGGGCTTCTTGGCTTGGGAAGAGGACGAGGAGGAGGACGACGACGACGACGAGGACGACGACGAGGACGACGAGGAAGGCGCCTCCGCCTTGGGCTTGAAGGTGGACTGGGGCGGGTAGTCGTACTGCGGCGGCGGCGGCTGGGGCGGCGGCTGGGGCGGGGGCCCTGGGGTGCAGGGCAGGGCCGCCACCGCCTTCGCGTGCTCCCCGTAGAGCTCCATGGGCTCGAAGCGCTGGTGGTTGAGGAACTCCAGGAAGTCGAAGGGGTAGCTCTGGAAGTGCACCCCGTCCTCGCCCCCTATGCCGCTGCTCCCGCCACCCCCGGCGCCGCTGCCCGCTGGGTTTGCCTCCATCTCGGGCGGGGTGGGAGACGGGAGACCCTGCGGAGAAGAGGACGGGGCTGAGGACACAGGACTCGCGCTGGCTCTCTCGGTGCGCCGGAGCCCCCCTCCCTCTGTCCTCCCAGCCCGGAGAGCAGTCTTCCTCCTGGTCCGCGGCCCAGAGACCTCTCCTCCTCCACCCCTCACCTCCTCTGTGTCCTCTTTGCTCCTCATCTCCATCCTGTCTCTCCGATTCCTTCCATCTCTCCCATCTTATCCAGGGTCCTCACATTCTTGTCTATCCATTCCCCGACCCTCTATCCCCAGGACTGCCTGCAGGCCCTCCTCTCCTTCTCGGACTCTGGTTCTCCCAGCACCCCAATCTCTGCTCTCAGTGCTGTTTGCAAACTCTCTTAGGCCTCTGCACCCTTAGGTGCAACTCTCTTAGGCCTTGCACCCCCCCCACACACACACACACACCAGCTCTCTGTTCTCCATCTCCTCAGGTTTTGCCGTTGACAAATGGTAATAGTACTATCAGAGTGGTGAGAAGACAGCCCCTGGAACCAGAATGCCAGATTTGAATCTAAGCTGTGTGACCACAGGCAGTTCCTGAACCTCTCTGTGCCTCAATTTCCTCATCTACAAATGGAAGTGACAAAGCACATCCCTACCTCAAACGGCTGCTATCTATGTCAGGCTCTTCAGGGGGATGCTTCCTGGCCCTCTGTAAGCACTAGGTAAGGGGAAGGCATTCCACTGTCATCGCTCCAAGAACCAGTAGTAGAAAGTCAGGAAAAACCAAGGCACCCGAGATGAAGTCAGTGTGGGGGAGGGGTGTGTCCTTTTACTACACTGGGAAGAACCTGCTTGCCTGCCAGAAGCAAGTTACAGCAGGGGGGCTGGCACTGAGAGGAGGCACCTGATACAGCGGAAAACAGGGGCCAGGGCCTGGGCAGACCTGGTTCAAGCCCCATCTCCTTCCTGATCCACACTTGCCATTTCTAAAAGGGGGCGGTCACCCCGAGACTGCAGGAGGAGTTAAGCGGGCTGACAGAGGTCAGGAAACATGCCCGTAGGCAGAGCTCATTCAGTCCCCTTCAGTGACGTCACACCTGGGTGGAGCCTGATGGCAGAGGCTCAAGGAATACCGGTTTCTGCCCTCACCCCTGGGGGCTTTCCCTGTGCCCTCCACGATGGCAGTCATTCTCTGGGCACCTTCTTTACAGGACTGTCCATCCCAGGTGACTGCTGTCTACAACTGCCCCCACCCCACCCCCTGGAACCTCGGCTCCTGCAGTTGATCTCTGAGCCTCAGACCCACCCAGGGGCCTCAGACACCTCTCCACTGAGTCAGCGGGGAGCCAGCAGGAGAAGGGCCCCCGAGGTCCAGCATGCTTCTGGGCCATCAGCCCTCCCCGCTGGGGGCCTGGCTCTGCGCCCAGCCCACTGTAGGGGTCAGTGGACCCACCAAGGCCAGGGCCCATCAGCCCCCATCTGCCCGACTGGCTCTTTCCCCCCATAGGTGTAAGGTGAGTGTCTCCTCCAGCCCCGCCTGGAGGTTGATATTTTTAGCCACCAGCTCTGGGTGTCCTTGGACAAGACTCAATATCCCATGCCCTTCACACCCCCTCTAGTTAATCTGATCTCCGGAAGGAGCAAAGGCGTGGCCAGGGTGGTGGTGGAACCACAGACAGAGCCAGCACTGGAGGGGGCTGGGTGACGGGGAGGAGGGCAGCGATGCGGGTGCATGGCAAAGGGGAGGGAAGGTGTCTTGGGAAAGCTGCCACTGGCCTGGCCCACCTCCATTAGAGCACAGGGTAATGATGGCCTCTGTTGACTGGGCATTTCCTACAGGCCAGCCACCACTCTAAGCACGTCACATGTACTCACTCACTGAATCCTCACCCTGACTCTATTAGACCAGGACACAAGGACTGTTGTTATCCCCGTGGGACAAATGAGAAAACAGAGGCACAGAGAAGTCAAGTGACTTGCCCAAGGACACAGCAAGTCTGTAGCTCGACCTACCCCTGCCCCTCCCAGAGTTGTTTTACCAGGGTTGTTCCCTGAGGTGGAGGAAGGTGGGGGTGGAAGTGTGGGGGTAGGAGCCTTATTTGGGGGTGCTGTCTGGGTTATTAGGGGCATTTATACATGGGGCTGGTGGGAGGGAAAGGTGGTTACCGTCCTGAACAGACGGAGCAGTGATGTGGTGAGACTGTGCCCTCTGCCTGGAACATTCTTCCCCAGATCTCAAGGCTCCCTCAGTGCCTCCTTCAGGCCTCTGCTCAGATGTCACGTCCAAGAGAAGTGACACCCTCCACCCCATCACTCGCCTGCCCCTCGTCCTACTGCATTTTTTCATCATGGTCATTGCCACCAACTCACTGTGTACATTTCCTTTGTGGTGTGTTTACTGTCTGGCCTCCTCACCTAAGAGAGCGAGGACCTGGCCTGTCTTGTTCACCACTGTGCCCCCAGCACCTAGCACCTAGACTGGCACAGTGTGGGTGCCCCGTAAATATTTGCTGGCATGTGGGAATTAAACAATACCCACCTAAATCACCAATGGGTACACCAAAAAATCAGATGAATAAAAAATTAGATGAATAACAATGGAAACACAACATACCAAAACTTAGGAGATGCAGCTAAAGCAGTGCTCAGAGGTAAATTTATAGCTGTAAATGCCTATATTGATAAATAATTGTTGAATGAGTAAAGGGATGAGACTAAGCTGACCAGAACTCCTTAAGAGAGGGGAGGGGGACATTTAGCAGAGATGACGCTGACATGGGGGGGGGGGGTAGTCCCCAGGAGAAGGAATTCTGCGGGCAGTGATGTTATGAGGAGGGCCCAGGGGGAGGGCAGGCAGAGGCTGAAGGGCTGCCACTGAGAAGGGAGCAGGGAATTCATCAGGCTCACGATTATTTCCACTGGGAAATGAGACAGTTCCTCTTTCAGGGGACCTAGGCCTTAACTGGTGTCTTTCTAAAAGAAGATCTGTCGTGGGAGGGTTTCACACAGAGAGGCATGATGGGGGGAACCCCTCCCAAGGGGCATGGGTCCAACAGCAACCACAGCCATAATCATAACAGCTCATGTTTATTGTTCAACCAGTTTCATAGGTACCATCACCCTGATGCCTCACAATAGTGCTGTATGGTCATTGGTCCCATTTTATAAATGGGGAAACTGAGGAGAAGGGGTGGGCCATTTCCCCAAGGTCATGTAGCCAGTAAAGGGGAAAGCAGGTGTTGGATTCCAGGTCTCCCTGATGTCAGGACCTGCGGGCCACTTCACTGCAACAAAGATGCCTTGTGATGAAATTCTGGTCTGTTAATGACAATAATGGTGACATATACTAACATGTAACACTGAATCAGAGCTTTCTACATGCCAATACACTTCTAACTCTTTTACATGTGCTGACTCAATGAATCTTCCCAATAACCCTAAAAGATGGTCACAGTTATTAACCCTATTTAACAGAGGAGGAGACTGAGGGCAAGAGAGGTAAATTAATCTCCTAAGGTCATACCACTAACGAGCAGCAGGGCCGGAAGTTGAAGGCAGGTGGTGAGGCTCCAGAGTGCATGCTGTTGTCCCGTCTTTCAATATTCCTCCAAAATAAAGGAAGGACCCATTCGCCTTACACTGGAAACATACTTTGCCCCACCCACTTTCCTGCCACCGAACCCCAGGCCTAGCCACAGACATTTACTGAACACTCACAGGGCCTGTACTAGGTGCCTGATGTTGCTTGCCTCACTCAAACTTCACAACAGACTCATAAGATAATTTATACACAGGATGACTAAGGCAAAACCATGTCCCTCATCTGCTCAAAACCCTCAGTGACTCCATCTGACTCAAAATCAAAGTCCTTATAATGTACACAGCCCCCATGGCCTCCTGGCTGCTCTTCTAACATGCCAGCTCCATTCCTGCCCCAGAGCCTTTGCACTGGCTGTTGCTTCTGCCTGGAATGCTCTGACTCCACATATACACCTCTCTCACTCCCTCACGTCTTTGCTCAAATGCCATCTGCTCAATGAGGCTCTCCATGACCGCTGTAACCCATCCGCCAGACCCACACTCCTGTCTCCCCAGCCTGCCTCATTACCCTCCTTTCCAGTCAGCATCATCTAATAAACCATATATTCTGCTTATGTCTGTCTTGGTGGCAGCCTCCCCTCTAGAAGGTGGGCTCCATGCAGGCGAGGATTTTATCTGTTTTGTTCACTGCTCCATTCCCAGGACCTGAAACAGTGTCTGTCTCCAAAAATATTTGTGAAATAAGTGAATGAATGAGGCTAGGAAAAGAAGGTGTGGTTTGCTCAGAGAGATAAACACTAGTGGAATCCAGGGCCCATCCTCTTAACCACTGCCCTCTTCAGGGAAGGGAGCTGTTAAGACCCCCTGGCTGGGCAGAGCTGTCCACAAGGAGGGAGAGTTACACACAGGTGTCACTTTTTGGTGTGAGGCTTTCTGGGACGACAAGATGACAACAAGACTCTCTTGAAAGAGGTCTTCCTGCCACCCTCTCTGACCCTGCAGCCCCTGTAACTCTACACCCTTATCCCACTGTATTTTCTTCACACATAGACACAGATTTTGTTTTTTAACTGTCTGCCCCATGAACTAGCATATGCACTCCATGAGCACAGGGATTCTTGTCTATTTTGTTCTCTGCTGCATCCCCAGTGTATAGGAGGTGCTCATTAAACAGTTGTTGAGCAATGAATCAATGAACAAATAAAGAAAATTCTGGGCTTGGTAGAGCTGACATAGGCCAGATAATTGATCGAAATGCCTTCCCCTCCAAGGCCCTATGAGATCAAACCCCTTCTCCCCCAGTTCTTCCCTTCAATTCCTCCACTCCAACCTCACAGGCCTCCCTTGTCACTCCTCTACACACCATGATCATGACACCTCAGGGCCTTTGCACTTGCTATTCCTTCTGCCTGGAACAGGCCACCTAGATCTCTGCATACTAACTCAGGTTTCGTCTCTGAAGTTGCTCATCAGGCTCTCGGAGAACGCAGAAGACGGCATTTATCTTGTTTATTTTCTTGTTTTTGATCTGTCTCCTCAATGAGACTGTAAAACCCTACAAGATGGAAGACTGGGTGCCTCTCTCTCCTTCACAGGTGTATGGCCTGAACTAAGTTCAATGAAGAACGAGTGAATGAATGAATGCCTAGAGAAAAAAGAGGTCACGTGCTAGTGAAGCTGGGGGTCTTCTCTAGCATGTCCAGGAGGATGGAGGGAGAGCTGGGTGAGAAGTGGCAGGTCAGGGTGAGAGTTGTTAGGGCCAGGGAGAATTAAGAGGGGGAAAGCCTCCCAGTGGGGGCACTGTTCTCTGGGAGATGGACTGAAGACAGGAGCTGATCCAGATAAGGGTGCGGCAGGAGGGGGGCAGAAATAGTCCATGGGAGTCTGGGACTAAACAGGCAGCTATTTCTACCTGAAGGGGGAGAGGATGTGGGTGTGAGAGCAGAACTCTAGAGGGAGCTGTTCTTTGGGGAGGGTCGGGGGGGCTGAAAGGGGTATTCTCAAGGGAAATTACTGAGGGGACTGAAGGAAAAAAGGGCATTGTTGGCCGCTGACCAGAAAAGAATTTTTACACCAAGGAAGGGAGTGTTCTGCGGAGGGGGGTGTTAGGAGCTTTAGGAGGCTGTTATGTGTGGACAGAGATAACGGGGGGCTGTTGCACTAATGCAACATTCTTTGGAGGCAACCTATAGGGGATGCTAACGGAGGGTTCACGGGTAGCTGCCCTGCATGGGGGGCAGGCAATGCTGGTGGCATGTTGGGGGCTGTCCTGGAGGAAGCAATGACGGGGGACTATCCAGAAAGGATCCTATGAGAATGCATTAGTGGGGGGCCCTGGCAGCAGTCTGGGAGATCGCCACGAATAAGGACATCTTGGCAGCCGTCCTACATGGGGGCGTTGATGGGGAGATATCTGGAGCGGTCTTATGGGGGAGCAGTGATTGGGGGCCCCCTGGCGAGGGCCTGGCGGGAGAAGAACTGATGGGGACGTTCTGGGGACCAGAGCGGGCCAGGGCGGGGCCCCCCGCCCTCGCTGCCCCCAGGCCCCCGGGCCACGCGCCCCGTCACTCACCGGCGCCGGGGTCTCCGCCGGGAGGAGGCCGAGGAGGCGGAGGAGGCGCCGCCGCTCGGGGGAGACCCGAGGGCCCGACCGGAAGTGCCGCCCCCTCCCCCTCCCCGGCTGCCCCGCGCCGCCCGCCCGCCGGCCCGCCCGGAAGCGGAAGTCGCGCCCGTCTCGGAGGCGCCGGCGTGGAGGAGCGGAAAGAGGAGGCGGTCGCGACGACCGGGAAAGGGAAGTGCGCCTGCGCACTGGCTCAGGGACGCAGGAGGGAAGAGCCTTGGCCGCTTCCGGTGGGCGAGCTGACCAAAGTGCGCCTGCGCCCTGAGCGCCCACCTCTTCCAAGGGCTCCGCCCACACGCTCCGCACATACGGTTGAGCCACGCCCCTCGTGTAAATCTACACTTAGGCCCCGCCCCCAGTTCTAAATCACGCATATTTCAGAGCTTAATTACCATAAGCTCCGCCTATCGTCTCAAAATTCGTCCTCCTCGCCCCAGTCTCAAGAAGTCTCTCCCATTCTTCCGCACCTCCAAGCACCTACTCTCTAGAAGTCCATCAGTCCCTCGTAAGCCCCGCCCCCAGCCACACCTCTTTCCTTAGGCCCCGCCTCTCAGCCTCTTAGGCTGAACCACGCCCCCTTGCGCTTAAGCCCCGCACCTTCCGTCCACAGCATTTAAGCTCCACCTCTAACAGCTGCGCGATATTTCTGCCTCGCACCTCTAAAGCATTCCCTTAAGTCGGTGGTTCTCAAAGTATGGTTCAGAGACCAGCAGCAGCAGCACCTGGGAAATTATTACAAACGGAAATTCTCAGGCCTCCTGCCCCAGACCTTCTGAACCAGAAACCCCGAAGGTAGGGCCTAGGGATCTGTCTTGTAAAGTACTCTTTAGGTGATTCTGACGCAGGTTGAAGTTAGAACCACAGCTCTAATACACTTTACACTGCCTCCTCCTATACTGTCTATAAGCCTCGCCCCTAACTCGGTCCCCACCCCCTAAGCAGTTAGGACCAGTTCTACTCAGCCGTTCCTACTAACTCCCCCTCTCTCAGGGACTTCTTTAGTTACTCCTCTCTTAGGTGCCTCCTTCTCTCCCCTTGGCCTGAACAGCCTGAATGCCCACGGCTCAGCATCTTCTCCTAACAGTTAAGTCCCACCTCTCCTGACACCTTGCTCTCCCGCAGTTTCCCCTTGAAGCCTCTCCCTTCAGATAAACGCTATCTACTCCCTCTAAATGCTCTCTCACTTTCTGACCGCCTGCCTCTGAACCAACTTAAGCCCCACTCCGGTTCTCAGCACCTTCTCCTAAGCCCCGCCCGTAGTTCTCACCTCCTGCCCCATAAGCCTTGCCCCTCAGTTCCAGCCCCGCCTCCTGCTCCCTCAGCCCCGCCCCCCGGGCCACACCCCCTCATCTACCTAAGCCCTACCACAGCTGTCAGTCGTGCCCACTACCCTCAACTCAGTTTTTCTTTGCAAACAGGGTCAAGACAAAAAGATGGGGCAAAGCGGTAGCTGCAGAATTTCCGGGAATCCGGCTGGCATGGGAAAGGGGACCTAGGGTCACGTTTGCACAGAAGATTCAATGTTTTACTTAAAGTGGATATTTATGGGGGGTACTTTGAGGTCTGTTGGAGATGGCAGAGGAGACAAAGGCACCGAGTTAATGAGGCACAAGACATGGAGTCTCCCCAAATTCCATGTGCTCCTTTTGGGGTGGTGTAGCAGTGGAAAAACATTTGAGGGGAGGAGAAGGGGGGCAGCCATGCTACCATCACTGAACACACACAGGAAGCCAGTAGGCAGAGATTTATTTCCACAGCCCCTGCCTCCAAGGGCCTGTTAGTCCGCGGGAAGATGGCAGGAGGCAGCAAGAACCAGAAGTTTAGGTCCTCACCCTCAAGCCCCTCCCACAACGGGAAGACCGCCAGACAGGAGAGTGTCCCGACCTCCCAGCCCAGGCCCAGCACCAGCCGAACTCCCAGCTCTAAACCCGGCCCGGGGAGCGGTAGCTGGGGGTGTGGGTCAGGCCAGCTCTTTGCCCTCCAACTCCTCCTCATCAGCCCCTGCCGTGGCCGGGATGCCCTCGTCGTCCCACGGTGGTTGAGGCCCTGGGTCCGGGGGGCACAGGGGTGCCCCCATGGCCTCAGGGTGCTTGCGTTTGGCATGGCGCCGGAGAGTGTTGGCCTCCGTGAAGCGCAGCCGGCAGACCGGGCACTGGTAGGGGCGCTCCCCGGAGTGGACGCGGTGGTGATGGGCCAGCTCGCCCGCCTCGCGGAAGCGGCGGGGGCACAGCGGGCAGCGGAAGGGCCGCAGGCCGGCATGGATGTTGCAGTGCCGCCGCAGGTGGCTGGACCGCTTGAAGGTCTTGCCGCAATCCTTGCACTCGTGCGGCTTCAGCTCTGAGTGCGAGATGCTGTGGCGCTCCAGGTCGGAGAGGTAGGGGAAGGCCCGCAGGCACACCGGGCAGAAGTGCGGGGCCTTCTTAGGGCCAGAGCCCTCAGGCCCGCCTGCCGCTGACCCTTCAGAGACTGTGTAGGGCACACCCTGATCATCGATCAACAGGAGGTCGCTGCCACCGCCGCTGCCCACGGGGGCTGTCACCCCCTGCGCCAGCGGGGGCTCCTGCCCCGACTTGGGGGGGCGGCCCCGCTTGCGAGGGAGGGAGGCCTTGAGCGTCCGATTCGAGGAGGTGGGCCCCCCAGGACGTCGGCCTCGGCGGCCCCGGGGAACAGGAGGAGGTAAGGCCAGAGGTTTCTCTTCCTCCCCGGGCAAAGGCGAAGGCAACGGGTCTGGGCTGGGGCTGTCCATTGAGCAGTGGGGGGCTTGGGTCTGGGCACTGGAGCCGGGCTAAGAGGAGAGAGGGGGCAGCCGTCAGTGCGGGGAGGGTCTGGAGCACCCCTTGTCCCCCAACGCCTCGCCATCCCTGGGTCCGAGTCTCTTGACCTGGGCATGGCTGACATTCACTTCGACACGTAATTATAGTCACGCTGGTGGGTAAAATAGCAGGATAGTTCTGTACCACCTGGTAAGCAAGCACTGCCCCCAGCCCCACGGTACACCGTAAGCCTCCCTGACCCCTCCCCTGGATCTAGACGTTCAGGGTCAACTTGAGCCAAAATAATGGAAAATCGTCCAGGGAGGGTAGAGTCCCAACAGAGGGTGCAGGTTAGTATTGCAATCCTCAAAACTGAGAGCCCATAAAACCCCAGAGCCATACAGGCCTCTGAAATGTTTTTGTCCCCACTCCTATCTGGCAGAATGGGAGGGGGAGGGTCTTCCAAGAAGAAAAGAAAAGGGGTCTGGAAGAAGAAAGGCACTGGTTTCGGGTGGTGCTTGGCCCTGAGGCGTGAAGGAGGAAATTTTTTGGAGCTGTTAATAGTCTGGGCTCCAGAGTGAGAGGTTCTGGGTTCGCTTCCCGAGTCTGTCACTTACTCTTTTTTTTGAGGAAGATTAGCCCTGAGCTAACTACTGCCAATCCTCCTCTTTTTGCTGAGGAAGACTGGCCCTGAGCTAACATCTGTGCCCATCTTCCTCTACTCTATATGTGGGATGCCTACCACAGCATGGCTTGCCAAGCGGTGCCATGTCCGCACCCGGGATCCCAACGGGCAAACCCCGTGCCGCCAAAGCGGAACGTGTGAACTTAACCGCTGCGCCACTGGGGCCAGCCCCACTTACTCTTTGAACCGCCCTGGACAAGGTACTCACCTCTCTGAGCCTCAGTTAAGCCTTTTGCAAAACAGGATGAATAGTTCCACCTACAGGCAACGTGCTAAGGATAATACGCATAAAGCCAAGTGCTCAGTACCAGGCAGCACTTAGGGGACGTTAGCTCTTACTATCTTGGTGAGTAGCTAAGCCCCACACCGACCCTCTGAATAAGGGTAAATCACCCCCATTTTGCAAATGGGGAAACCGAGGCACCAGAAAGCCAAGTCAGATGCCCACCCTCCCTCTGCCAGTAAGCAGCAGGGCCAAGACTCAAACCAGATCTTGCGGACCCCAATGGCCCAGGGAGGGATAAGAAGTGGACCCAAGGAGACATCATGGGGTCCCTTGGTCTTGGGTTAGAATCCAGCTCTGCCACTAATTAACAAGTGGCTTTGCCTCTCTGAGCCAGTTTCCCCTTTGTAAAACGGATATAACAAGGTTGTCGGATGGCACACAGTAAGCACTCAATAAACTGCTATCACGCCCCCCATCATCATCATCAGAGCCTGGGATCAGGGGACTGGGGTGTAATAAAGGGGAGGGAAAAGGAGGCACAGGTGCAATCAGGAGCAGAGGCTGCAGGTACCACTGCACCCCCTCGGAACAGGCACATAGACTGAGGTCCAGAGAGGGGCAGCCACTTTTCCATGATCACAGGGTGCCCTCCGGTGGGAGGGGGCTGGACTAGAACCTGGGTCTCTGGAACGATGCCCTCGCCCCTCGCCCTCCGTCCGCCCCGTGCAGGCGCGCGCCCGTCGGCCCCGAGCGCGGGGCGGGCCCTGCGGGGGCGGCGGCCAATGAGCAGCGCCGGGCCGCGGACGGCGAGGGCCGCCAGGAAGGGGGTCTGCGCGCGCGCGCCCGGGCCGGCACCACGGGGCGCGAGGTCGGCGCGCGCGCCGGGGCGAGCGCGGGAGCGGGAGCAGGTGTAGGGGGCGCGCTGCACGAGCGCGCGGCCCCGGGCGTCCCCTCCCTCCGCTCCCCTCCCCCCGCCCGCGCCCCCCGCCTCTCGGGTACCTCATTTGCATGTCGCCGGGGCTCGCGAGTGTGCGCGCGCGGGGGGCGACGGGGCTGGCGCGTGGGAAGGGGCGGGGGCCAGGGGGCCCTGCCCCTCGGCGGCGCGCGCGCGGGACGGCCCCACCCCTCGGAGCGGACGCCCGGCGGCCCCGCCCTCCCCTCCCCCTCCTCCTTCCCCTCCCCGTCGGGCCCGCGCCCGCGGGAAACAAAGGGGACGCGCTGGGTCCTAAGGACCGGTCACGTCCACTCCCGCAAACTGCGCCTGCGCACCCATCGCCCTTGCTGGCCCCTTGCGGGAAATAACCCCACCAGCACATCCCCAACCACGTAGCAATGTCTTTCCTCCCACAAAGCTCCCAGCCGGTGACCCAATCAAAGACAGGTACCGAAAGGATGAGGAACGGGAAAATGGCTGCTCGTTCCCGTAATTAACATGGCGCCTGATAGGCTTCAAAGCCCACTGGAAGGCTAAACACAAGATGGAGCCTGCTCTTTCGTCCTATCTCTGTATCGCAGTCGGGCAACTTCGATTTGTCTTTTCTCCGGATGCAACTCTACTTCCTACTCACGAGGAGCCTGAGGCTGCGAAAAGGAAATCGAATATGTCCTTAGCTGCGTTATCACCCGCCAGCGATGGGAGGAGCCTCGCGCCGAGCCTGTTGCCCTTAGTCTGTATGGCGCCGGGGGTCACCCGAAGCCCCGCCCCTTCTCCCTGCCCTCACCCAAGATGGCGCCAAGCCGGCTTCTCTAACCCCCAGTGCTGGGAAAGGGACGGGAAAGAGGCACAAGGGCGGGCGGCCGGGAGGGGGAAGCCAAGAGGGCGGGAGAAAGGGGGAGTGCGGGGGAGAAGGGAGCCGAGGCGGAAGTCGAGGGGCCCCCCGGGTGGAAGTGACGCTGCCCCCGCTGCCCAAAATGTCGGCGCCCAGAGGGAGGTGTAAGTAATTAAAGAGGAAAGCCGACTGACTTTCCCGGCCTCCCGGGGCCGCCCCAGGGCTCCAGAACCCCCGCTCCGTACGAGCGAGGTGGACTCGCCCGGCCGCGGGTCTCGCCTGACCTGCCCCCTCCCCGGGCGCCTGGGGCCGCACCTTTTAGGGACAGGAGGGAGGGGCACAAAAGGCCGGCTCTAGGGGCCTGGGTCCTTGAGCCGACTGAGGAGGGGGGGCCGGCCCCGCAGGCTACCGGGTGGGGAGGAGGCGGGGCTTAGTAACTGCTGGGGCGGAGCAATGGCTGGGAGGAGCCTGAGCGGGCGTGGCTTAGACTGGAAGTGGGCGGGGCTTGTTAGAGGGAGCGGAGCTGTGGGTGCAAAGTGGGAGGGGCTTAGGCGAAGGGGTGGGGTTTGGTAAAGGGGCGTGGCTCAAAGAGAATGGTAGGACGGCCCTTGGTTGAGGGTCTGAATTGGGGCTGAGTGGGGAAAGGGGCTCGGGGCGAAGGTGGGAGGAGCTTAGAGTAGAAGGGGTGGAGCTTGTCTGGAGGTATAGCTTAGAGAAAGTGGTGGGCATAATGAGGGAGTGGGTTAGGCGTGTGATTTGGGGAGTTTTGGTGGAAATATCCTCTTTACACTGCAGGTGAAATGTCTTAGACGAAATGGGGCAGGACTCACAGGGACTGAGAAAGTGAGAGGGGTTAAGTGGAGGGGATCTTGGAAAGGACTGAGCTTTGTTTAGAGGCTGGGTTGAAGGGAAAAGTTGAGTGGGGTTTTGGGGGCAGATCTTAGTGAAGAGATAGTGGGACTCCAAGAGGGATCTCGGAGGAACTTCGCGGATAGTAGTAATCAAAACAGCCTACCTGTTGAGTCTGCTGTGCGCCCACCTAAGTAAGCACGCAGCACACATTGCCACAATTTTGCTTAGTCCTCACCACCACTCCATGAGGTAGGTTCTCCTATTATCCCCATTTTGCGCACGGAAAGAATTTCAGTTGGTTTTATCCGAGGTTCCAGGGCTAGCTCTGGGCGCCCTGGAAGGTTCACTCAAGTGTGCTTAGCCCCACATCTTTGTCCTCTAATTCAATAAGAACGTGTATCTTCCTCTGAAGATGGCTTTCGTCTTCAAAGAAGAGTGGGAGGGGCTTTCGGAGGGCAAGGGACTTGTCAAAGGAATACAAGAGGCTCCGGGAACAGTGTGCCGAGTTTGGAAGAAGTAGGCGGGACCTGAACAAGAGGGGGTGGGGCTTACCCACAGTGGGTGGGGCTTGGAGAGGAGCAGTGGTCCGTTCGAAAAGAGGGGGAGAGGCTTCAAAACACTCAGTGACGAAGAAGCGACTAGGCGGTGATTATGGCGATTGGAAAATAAGTGGGAGAAGGGTTTGAAGGAGAGTGGGAGGAGCTTAAAGGGCAGTGGGCGTGGCTTTGAGGTGGGCGTGGCTCCCAGGCGACAGGTTGCGGGTCTGCGAGTCCAAGGAGCCTGGTGGGGCAGCGCTGATGGGGAGGTGACTCCCTCACCCGCCCTCCCTGTCTCCCCCTGCCCCAGAGAGCCGCTGCCCTCGCGCCGCGCCACCATGGATGAGGCCCCGCTGCCAGCGCCCCCGGTCCCCGCCCCGGCCCCGGCCCCCGCGCCGCCCGCTGCCGCCCCCCGCGTGCCGTTTCACTGCAGTGAGTGTGGCAAGAGCTTCCGCTACCGCTCGGACCTGCGGCGCCACTTCGCCCGGCACACTGCGCTCAAACCCCACGCGTGTCCGCGCTGCGGCAAGGGCTTCAAGCACAGCTTCAACCTGGCCAACCACCTGCGCTCGCACACCGGCGAGCGGCCCTACCGCTGCTCCGCCTGCCCCAAGGGGTTCCGAGACTCCACCGGCCTGCTGCACCACCAGGTGAGTCCCGCAGGCCGGCCCCTGGGCCGCACGAAGTGAACCGTTCACCGGAAACGCACTGCACCTGTACGCTTCTCTCCTCCCCTGCTCATACCCCAACACCCCAGCATCTGCAATTTTCTTTATCATTCGCTTACCGTTTTTAAAAATAGATTTACCAGGGCCAGCCCCCATGGCCTAGTGGTTAAGTTCAGAGCTCTTTGCTTCTGGGGCAGACCTACACCACTCATGTGTCAGTGGCCATGCTCTGGCAGCAGCTAACATACAAAACAGAGAAAGACTGGCAACAGATGTCAGCTCAGGGTGAATCTTCCTCAGCAAAAGAAAAAAGAAACAAATTTATTCGTTCAGTGATTATTGAATGCTTTCCCTGCTCCCAACACCTGGTCACCAAGGTGAAATCAATTAAGTCTGTCCCTTTGGAGAACTGACATTCCATTGGAGGTGGTCAGTAGCTAGGCAGATGATCAACAAGGAAGCAAATGCACAGACAGAATGTTCTGGAAAGGGAGAAGTGTTGGGAAGAAAATTTTTTAAAAAGAACAAGAAGTCAATGTCAAGAGTAAAGAGTGGACAGCTATGAGTTACCGGACAAGGTGGGGAAGGTCAGGGCAGGGTGATATTTGAGCTGAGACTAAAGTATGAGCAGGAGTCCGGCATGGGAACAGCATTCCAGGCAGAGGGAATAGCAAGTGCAGAGGCCCTGAGGTGGGAAGAAGCTTGGTGTGTTCAAGGAAGTGATGGGAGACTGTGTGGTTGGGTGGAGCGAGCCTGGGGCAGAGCAGGAGGAGGTGAGGTGGAAGTCACGTACAACCTTCCCGGCTGTTGTAAGGAGCTGGGATATCATTCTGTGTGCCAGACACTCACGCTACGAGGGTAAGTAAAACCAGACATATCATTGGTCTTTCACACTTGTCCCCTCCTCTCTGACCCTGTGGCATCTGTCTTAGTTCACGACCTCACATCCTGGATGTTGGCCCCAACTTTCTAAGTGATCTTCCTACCTCTTGTCTCTCCCCATCACATTCAGCCTCTGCGAATGTCACAGAGTGACCAGGAACACCTCCCCCGCCCCCCAAAACCCCTGATCCTTAGGATGACGGGGGAGCTCCTTAACTTGATGTAACATTCACAGCCCTCTGAGGTCTCACCCCTGCCCACTGGTAGGTTATAATACAACTGAGCATTTAAGGAGCACCTACCGTATGCAGGCTCAGTGCTAGGCTCTTTAAAAAAGAGACGAGACAAACAGACACGGTCCACCCCTTTCATGCCCTCCCAGAGCCAAGAGTCTAGTGAGGGAAACATTAATGCAACAACCAGGTTAATAAATGTCAAATTGTAATTGAGACATGTGAGGGCAGAGGGTAACTGTATTCCGAGGCTAATACAAGAGACCTGAAGTGGTCTGGGTCGGGGCTGGGGATGGTGGTGGTTTTCTGAAGAAAGAGGTGATGGACGGGCCGCCTCTGAGGAGTGGGAGGGCAGTAACCAGGCAGCGGCACGGTGCAGGCAGGAAGGGCTTTCCAGCCTCGGGGGCAGGATGTGCACTCTCCAGGAAGCGAGGCAGGCTTCTGAGGAGCTGGAGAAAGGCTGGTGTGGCTGGAGCACAGAGCACCAGGGACAGGGTGGCCCAGGAGAAAGTGGGAGATCCTACTGGGCCTGTGGCACCTACTCTGTGCCAGATTCTGGACCAAATTCAATATGGTCCCTATTTTCACCACCCTTACCTGATGGGGAGACAGACAACACCCAACCCGATGTAGATACTAAGTGTGACATGAGCCATAAGCTCTGAAGAGAGAGGGTGGGTGCAATGAGAGAATAATGTGGCCAACCAGGGGCCTAGATTCAGGGGAGGATTTTCGAGGAGCTGAGAGATAAACTGAGACTTACAGGACAAGAGAAGAGCCTGTCATTGGAAAGAGCCTTCCAGGCAGAGAGAACAGCACATACAAAGGTCCTGAGGCCAGCGCAACCATGTTGGGTCAAAAAGTCAGAGTGGAGAGAGAAGAAAATCAGTGACAGGATAGAGTTCACTGCACCCACAGGGTACTCCTGTCACATCACCACATCTAGAGTCAGAGTGGCAAAGGGTACCACTCCCAGTCCCTTCTTCAGATCCATGCCCCTGGTAGGCATGACTAATCAAGCACTGCACTCCACATCCAGCCTCACAGCTCTCCCTACAGCTCTCCAGGCAGACACTACCAGTCAATAGGACTGTGTGTTCAGATCTGTCTCTGCTACTGCAGGACTCTTAAATAAACAACAAGGGCCAATATCGATAGAGACCTCTGTGAGGCACGGTCTCACTGGCCACATTTCAAGGCTCAATAGCCACATGTGGCTGGTGGATGCCATTTTGGACAGTACAGATATAGAACATTTCCATCATGGCAGAAAGTTCTATCAGACAGTTTTGCTCTAGAAAGTTGGACATTTACCTTGAAAAGCTACCTCCCACCCCAGGGGATTATGAAAGGCCCTCTCCACCTCCCCCCAAACATCGACTGGTTTAGAGGACATCCATAGGACATGGGGAAGTTTGTCAATAATAATTCTAGTTTCTAGGAATTCAGTAGTTATTTTGTGATGATTTTGCCCTATCCTCATAGCAAGGCTGTGAGATGGCACATCTCATTGTGCCCATTTTACAGAGGAGAAAAGCAGAGTCCCAGAGATGCAGTTCCTTATCCAAGTTTTCACTGAGGGTAGAAGGCAGAGATGGGATTCGAACCCAGGTCTGTCGGTGCTCAGAGCCCTCGTACTTAGCCACCTTCCCAGAGAGTCCCAAACTCCTAGATGGGCTTGTTGAAAATGAGTAGGAGTTAGGAAGAGTGGGGAGGAAGAGTTTCCCAGTCTGAGGGAACAGCACGTGCAAAGGTCCTGAGGCTGGAGGAACTAAAAGCATGCTAGCACAGCCCAAAGCAGAGAACGAGAGTGAGAAGCTTGAAGCTGGGTCTTGGCCCTGTAGGTGTGGCAGGCAGCGCGGGCCGCATCCCTCTGGGAGTCCAGGAATCTGTCCTGTGGGCTAGACCCTCAGCCCTGATGCTGTGCTCTCCCTCCCACCCTCCCAGGTCGTCCACACTGGTGAGAAGCCCTACTGCTGCCTGGTCTGCGAGCTCCGCTTCTCCTCACGCTCCAGCCTGGGCCGCCACCTCAAGCGCCAGCACCGGGGGGTGCTCCCGTCCCCGCTGCAGCCCGGCCCAGGCCTGCCGGCCCTGAGCGCACCCTGCTCGGTCTGCTGCAACGTGGGGCCCTGCTCGGTGTGCGGGGGCTCGGGGACCGGCGGCGGAGAGGGCCCGGAGGGGGCAGGCGCGGGCCCGGGCAGCTGGGGGCTGGCGGAGGCGGCAGCTGCAGCGGCGGCCTCGCTGCCCCCATTCGCCTGCGGCGCCTGCGCCAGGCGCTTCGACCACGGCCGCGAGCTGGCGGCCCACTGGGCAGCGCACACCGACGTGAAGCCCTTCAAGTGCCCGCGCTGCGAGCGCGACTTCAACGCCCCGGCGCTCCTGGAGCGGCACAAGCTGACGCACGACCTGCAGGGGCCCGGCGCGCCCCCCGCGCAGGCCTGGGCCTCGGGGGGCGCCGCCGCCGGGCCCGAGACAGCCGGCGAGGGGGGCGCAGCGGAGGCAGGGGACGCCCAACCGGCCTGGGACGGCGGGCCGCTCCGGGGCCGCGCGGGGGGCGGCGTGCCCGAGCTGGGGGCGCTGCTGCCCGAGGGCGGCGGGGAGGCCCCTGCGCCCGCGGCCGCGGCCGAGCCGTCGGAAGATACCCTGTACCAGTGCGACTGCGGGACCTTCTTCGCGTCCGCGCCGGCGCTGGCCAGCCACCTGGAGGCGCACTCGGGCCCGGCCGCCTACGGCTGCGGCCACTGCGGGGCGCTGTACGCGGCCCTGGCGGCGCTGGAGGAGCACCGGCGCGCCAGCCACGGCGAGGGCGGCGGCGCGGAGGCGGCCGCGGCGGCCCCAGACGGGGAGCCCGCGCCCGGGGAGCCCGCGTCCGGCTCGGGCCGCGGCAAGAAGATCTTCGGCTGCTCCGAGTGCGAGAAGCTGTTCCGCTCGCCGCGCGACCTGGAGCGGCACGTGCTGGTGCACACGGGCGAGAAGCCGTTCCCGTGCCTCGAGTGCGGCAAGTTCTTCCGCCACGAGTGCTACCTCAAGCGCCACCGGCTGCTGCACGGCACCGAGCGGCCCTTCCCCTGCCACATCTGCGGCAAGGGCTTCATCACGCTCAGCAACCTCTCTAGGCACCTGAAGCTGCACCGGGGCATGGACTGACGCGGCCCCCCACGCCCCTTCCCCCGGGCTGGACGCAGGGCCGGCGCCAGGGGACCCCCCCAAAGCCAGACTCGGGCCCTCAGATGAGGGGACCCCGGCTGGAGAGATGGAGCCACCGAACCCCGACCCAGGCCCCTGAGCTGGGGGACAGCAAATAAACAGAGACAGTCCTCACCTCGGGGCCCGGATCTACGGGGAGACTCCTGAGCTTGAGGCCCCTGGAATACGTGCTGTGCACCCCCAAATCAACAGGCCCCTGAGCTGCGGGGACCTAGGAATGAAAAACGGGTCTCCCCAAGTACTTCTCATCTTGAGGGCCCTAATAATTACAGATGGGCACCCCTCCCGCAAGGGAGGGCTGTCCCTCCCCCTGAGAGCCATCATTCCCAACGACCTTGATCTGGAGAATGTGGGGGACCATGTCCCCGAGTTTCCCTGGATCCCCTCCAAATGCTACCCACCAGTCACTGGTGCCCCCAGAAAATGGATATAGTCGGAATCTGCCTTCCCCTCCCCCACGCCCCATTTCATTCCCTATGCGGAAAGAGGACCAGGGTAGATGCCCCCTGCCCTCAACGCCCCTTCCCAATTAGGTCTCTCTCCCCTACTGCGGAATGGATAAACCCTAATGAGCTTCCCCACCCTCAAACGCTAGAATAGGCTGGTTGGAAATCCCCCCGCCCAGTAGGATGGACTGATCCAGATACACACACCCCTGTCCACTGGAATAGGCTGGTCCAGGTTAGGGCCTGCACCACATCCTCCTTAGAATATGGCAGACACTCCTCCCCTTCCTCTAGAGAGTGGACCGGTCCACATCATCCCCATCCTGTGAACTCATCTGAGTGGGAGGTGGAGGACATTGGGGTTTCTCTCCCACTCTGCTGTAGCTCCTGTCGGTCTTTCTCTTCATCTGTCAGTTCGTCTGTCTCTGTGTTCCTCCCAACCCCAAGGGGAAGGCCATTTTGGCTAAAGGGTTCCTCCCTGTGAGCCTCGACCTCACCCCCTCGTCCCACTCCTCAATGTCTCCAGGACCCCAATAAACCTCGTCCTGTCTATCACTGTCGTCTCATTTTCTGACCCTTGGCTCCAGAGAGATGGAGATTTCTCCCTCCCTGACTTAGGGCAGGCCCCTAAATAGAGACAGATTCTTCATCCCTCCTGAGAATTTTAGATAGTGCATGACCCTTAAAATCAGAGATGGTGGAAGTCCCATCTAAATGGAACCCTGCCCCTTAAACATGAGATCCACCTCTGAGAGGGACAGGCCCCTGAGAAATCAAACACGCCCTTTAGAAATCATCGATCCCATAGGATATGTCCCCCCAAAGCCAATCTGTCTTCTTAGACACCAGTTGCTACCCCTTGGAAGAGGCCCCACCCCTTACACTCTGCCACCCAGCAACGGAATTTGTAGATTAGACGCTCATCTAGCATCCTAGAATAGGATCTGCCCATCACGGAATGGGTGGGCTCTCCAGGTTGTCTCCTAGGCACTGGACCCCATTCCTGTACTGAGGGCCTGTTCCATGCCAGGCCTTGCAACCTGCTCTGGGGATCCAGAAGTGAACAAAATAACTCCTCATGGAGTTGATATTCTAGTTCATGAGCGATGGGTTAGAAAAAGAGTAGTCAAACGAAGAGGGTCATATCAGATGGTTATTAGCACTCTGAAGGAAATGAGGAAGGACGCTAAGAAAGTAGGTGGCTGGGCTATACCAGCCAAGGTAGGGTGGTTCCAGTGGGCTTCTCGGCAGAGATAACATTTGATCTGATACCTGAAGGGACCAGCCAGGAGGACCTCTGGAAGGGCCCAGGAGGGGAGCAAATGCAGAGGAGGGAGGGAGGAGATGAGGTGGAGAGGTAAGCTGAGGTCAGGCCTCATAGAGTCTGGGGGCCAAGATAGGCATTTGACTGTGCTCTCCAGGCAATGGCAGGCAAGAGTTTAAGTGTGGAGGGATGTGGCCACTCTTGCACTTGACAAGGATCCCTCTGGCTGCTGAGTGGAGAAGCAACTGGAGCAGGCAGAGCAAAAGCACAGACGGCTACTGCAGTTCACCAGGAGAGAGATGTGGGGAGAAAGTGGATTCGAGGTGAATTCTGGAGGTAGGATGTGTGAGTGTGTGTGCATGTGTGTGTGAGTGTGTGCAATGGAAAGGGAGGAATCAGAAGGGACCGGTTGGGTGGTGGCACTTTGTATTAAGGCCAGAAAACTGAGGAAGAACTAGTTTGGGTGGGGCTTAGGAGGATCAAGAATTCCACCTTGAGCTTCTTATATTTAAGATGCCCGGGAGGTTGGAAGGCTCTAATAAGGCTGAAGATGAGCACATCCCGCGAGGCAGTCATCCCACTGCTAGGCATGAACCCCAGAGCACCTCGAGTCCACCTGCACCAGCACCAGGAGACACGTATAAGAACACTCCCAGCAGCACTACGTACAGCCCCGGACCCAGGACAACTGAGATGTCCATTGCTATGGTCTGAATGCTTGTGTCCCCCCCCCACCCAAATCCATATGTTGAAATCCTAATGCCCAATGTGATGCTATTTGGAGGTGGGGCCTTTGGGAGGGGCTTAAGTCATGACGATGGAGCCTCATGAAGAGCATTAGTGACCTTACAGGAGAGGCTCCAGAGAGATCCCGAGACCCTTCCACCAGGCGAGGATGCAACGAGAAGGCGCCAGCTACTCACTGGGAAGAGGGCCTCCCCAGAAGATGGCCATGCTGTCCGTCTTGATCTTGGCCTTCCAGCCTCCAGAACTCTGAGCAATAAATTTCTGTTGTTGGTAAGCCACCCAGTCTGTGTTATTTTGTTACAGCTGCCTAAACAGACTAAGACATCCATCAACAATACAGTAGGTAAACAAATATTGGTATATTATGCTATGGAATACTATACAGCAATGAGAATGAATGAGTATGGATACACAGAACTACATGAATGAAAGTCACAAAGAAGCAGGGAGCAGGAAGCCAGATACATAGAGTATGACTCCATCTCTGCAACGTTCAAAAACAAGCAGAACAAGCTGTAATATTTTTTAGGATGCGTTGTGAGTAATGAACCATCTAGAAAAGCAGATAAAACATTTTTCCATAAAACTCAGAACAGCGGGGCTGGATGGATTACACTTGGGGTGGGACATGTCAGAACCTTCTATGGGCTCTGGGGTGGCTGCCAACATTCCGTTTCTTAATCTGGTGACCATTTTATAATTATTTGTTGATGGTGCGTTTGTATCATGCCTTTTAAATCTTAGAATTTCATAAGAAAAGAATTTTAAGGAAGAAGACATATGTTTTGGGGGAGAAAAGACAAGTAAGAGTTTGGCATTCAAGGAAGACATTTTTGCCTGGAGATCCACACTTGCCCGCTCGAAAAGGCTCCAGGTCAGCCCCTGGGGACGCTCAACCTCAGAGATATTCCTCTCCTCTCTTCCACCGCCACCCAGGGACCAGCCAGACTCATTCCTTCGGGGTGAAAAAAAAAATCCTCTGCTTTGAAGACACAAGACCCGCCCCCTTCGATACAGGCACCGCCCCCAGGGACAAGACCCACCCCTTTCGAGAGGGCTCGGCCTCCAGAGACCAGGGCCTGGAAAAGCGCCAGGGTTGTCATGGAGACGGCCACTCGCTACCCAGTAATGAATAGGGACCTCAGGAGGCGGAGGCTCCCGCCCACCTCACCTCCACCGCATCCTTTCTCTTCTGAGACGGTAGAGAAAGGGACTCGCCCCATTTCCAGGCGCTGGGCGGGACCCTGTACCTAATTCGTCTCACTGTGGCCCCATTTTATAGATCTGCTAATTGAGGCTGGGAGGGGGTTGGGGGCGGTGTTACCCTGGGGGCGACCTCAATCACCAGAGCATCAATTACTGTCCAGAGGCTGACTCCCCCCCTCTGTCGGAGCTGCTGACTCTCGCGGGCTGCTGGTCGACCCAGCCACCTGCATGCTCGCCTGAGCTCCGCATCTCCCCGCCACCGCAGTGTTCTCCCCTTCAGGGGCGTCCCCTACTCCGGAACCTGAGCCCCAGTCCGCCTCACTCCTCCTCGCCCTTCATCCCTCTTTTCTTTCTTTTTTTTTTTTTTTTAAGGAAGATTAGCCCTGAGCTAACATCTGCCGCCAATCTTCCTCTTTTTGCTGAGGAAGGCTGGCCCTGAGCTAACGTCCGTGCCCATCTTCCTCTACTTTATATGTGGGACACCTGTCACAGCATGGCTTGACAAGCGGTGCCATGTCCGCACCGGGATCCAAACCTGCAAACCCCAGGCTGCCGAAGTGGAACGTGCACACTTAACCGCTGCGCCATGGGGCGGCCCCTCCCTTCTTTATTAGCCCACAAATATTTGTCGATGTACGGGCTCGGTGCTGGGCGTAGAGAAGTTACTCAAACAGGCAAAGCAAACCCCTGCTCTCAGGGAGTTTATACTCCAGAGGGAGAGGAGATAGGCAATCAGGGGCGGATCACAGGCAACCTAATGCTTGTTTGTGATAAGTAATATATTGGAAATGAAGGTCAAGCAAGGACTAGAGGTGACAGGAGGGCTATTTGCTAGGGTGTAAGGACAGGCGTCTCTGAGAAGATCTGAAGGAAATGAGGGGAGAAAGGGAAACTTTATGGAAATCTAGAGGAAGGGCATTCCAGGCAGAGGACATCATGTGCAAATGCCCTGAGTCCAGAAAGAGCAAAGAGGGCAGTGTGGCTGGAGCAGAGCGAAGCCTAGGGAGAGACTAAGAAATCAGTGGAGGGAGGCCCCAGGGGCCAGATAAGTAGAGCCTTATAGGCAGGCGGGCGAGGAAGTGGGGAAGGAAATGATGGGGAGCCGGGGGAAGATGTTGGGCGCAGGAGTGACCTGATGCGATTTTGGGGCGCTGGAGCCTGGGCTGGGGGCTGGAGGGAGGAGAGCCAATGAGGAGGCTGTTGCGGTGGGAATGGCATCCAGGAGGGCAGCCCTGAGCCAATCAGCGCCAGGTCCCGCCCCCTGCCCGGAGCCTCCTTTCCAGCCCCAGGGCCCCTCTCTCACCTGGACCCGCGCCCCGCCTCCTCCCTGCTCCCCGCCTCGGTCTCCCCTGCATCCGGCCGGGCCTCCACGCGGGTCCCACAGGAATTTCTCTAAAACACTAATCGGATCATGTGACTCTTCAGCTTAAAACCTTTTCAATGGCTTCTCAGTGCACTCGGAATGCGTCCAGCATTCAGCGGAGCTGGAGGCAGGATACAGGCGCTCGTGCAACTACTGCCTCTCTCCGCCACCCTGGCCGCCTCTGACGCCCCAATCCAAGGCCTGGAACCTCCCCCCAGACAAGATCTCCGCACACAGCATGTTGGTCTCTCTGCTTGAAAACTTTCTTCCCTACCACCCTCATTCCTGAATTCATTCCTTCCTCTTTTTTCTTAGGAAAAAAAATATTTTAAGCCTTTAAACTATAGGTAATGAACGAACACACACGCACACCCTAGGCATATAATCAAAAGACTTGAAAACAGCTATTCAAACAAAAAAACACGAATGTTCATAACAGCATTCTTCACAATAGCCAAAAGGGTAGAAATAACCCAAATGTCCGTGAACAAATGAATGGATAAACAAAATACAGTATACTCATGCAATGAAATATTATTCAGCCATAAAAAGGAATGCAGCATTGATACATGCTGCTACATGGATGAACCTCGAAAATATTGTGCTAAGTGAAAGAAGCCAGTCATAGAAGACCGCATAGTGTATCACTCACTTGATATGAAATGTCCACAGTAGGAAAACCCATAGAGACAGAAAGCTGCCTATTGCTTGCCAGGAGCTGGAGGGAGAAGGTTGTGGGAAATGATGTCTTCATGGATCCAGGTTTCTGTTTGGGGAGACAAAAAGTTCTGGAAGTAGATAGTGGGGATGTTTGTATAACATTGTGAATGTCTTTAATGCCACTGATCTGTACACTTCAAAATGGTTGAAATGGTAAATTGTATGTTATGTGTATTTTATCAAATAAAAAAGTGCACACAAAACCAAAACAAAACAAGACAAGAAAGTACACACACACACACACACTCACACTCA